GTCATGACAATGGATCACTCTGTCAAGTTCTGCAAGCGGCTAAAGCTGTGGAAGGCCAAGAGGCAACGTGAATCTCTCAAAGATGCGAAAATGCTTATGCTGTTCCAGAATGAAATTGGGCAGATTATTGGGCGGCGGCTGACCAGGTCTGAAAACGAGGAAGAAACACGAGCCTTGCTACAAACATGTGAAGTCGCAGTTTAGTGCGCCTTCTGGGGATGACCTGGATCATGTAGTTGTGTCGGATAACGCGTCGGCTGTCAAGAAAATGGTCACAGAAGTGTTTGGTAGCGAGGTGGTCACAAAACAGGACCCCTTTCACGTGATATCTCGCATCACTGAAAAAAGGCGCCCGTCACCAGCAAACGAATTTCAAAGGAACTCTCCCGTGCGATCTAAAATGTGGCTCGTGAATTGCGCCCTACTGCTGAAATGGCTCTTCAATTTCAAAGTGTAGTCAGCGGTGTTTTGCGCTCAAGTGTATCGTGCAGCCTGAACGATTGGAAAGGGTCGTGTCTGAGTAATTTGGAGCAGATTCAGCGTGGCGAGTTGTACGTGGGCTCAAATACTTACGAGGAAGGCGGTCATCGAGTTCGCGTGATATCTACTAGCCAACTTGAGGGCTTTCACTCTTCCTTAAAAAACCTGCTTACCAGAAATGTATCGATTGAGGTTGGCTCGGGGATCTTAGATTGGCTTATCGTCAAGCATAATTTGTCTATCGGTGCTAAGTTCGGGCGCAATCCGCCCATGAATGGCGTTGATTTGATTTCGGCGGGCCATACTGCATTACTCTGTGTAACGATGGTCCCTATTTCGCCTCAGATTGAGTATGTGATGCAGCTTTTCTCTTCGCCGCTTGTAGCCCCGCAGTATAGAACGGAGACCGAGCGGGACTTTGACTTTGACTCCTGGGCACAGGTATTTTCACTATTTGAAGATAAAAAAGACGGAGGGGTCGCCCCCAGCTTTGGGCTGGAGCACACTACGGTCGCGCGTGCAAGCTAACGATGTTGCAGGGCTTCGACGCTTCTCTCGACGTGGTCTGTGGGTGCTTTGGAGAAGGACTACGGGGTAAGACTCGAAACAGCGTACACGATCGCGAATATTGGGACGCTTTACCGGGCAGATGCTGCGGCTGCGAAGCAGATGCTGCGGCTATGAAGCAAGATGCCCGTAGCTAGAATAACTAATCGTGTTTCTTGACTCGAATTCTGTGTTAACCCCTCCAGACCGGGAGCCGAAAAGAACATTTAAACTGCATATGCAGCGTAATTAGACTTGATGTTTGTATACAAAAATGGTTAGGGAAGATAGGATGCACGATGGGGGCCAACAAGGCTGTGCTAATACTGAAAATAACCTGCATATTGGCTCCAGTGTAGCATATCCATGCTGAATAATGCTACGGTGCCCGCCGAACAGCAACTAGGACCTAGCGAGTCCCGATTTTCAAAAAATCGGAATTTGAAACTTCCCATACAAACACTTATATACAAAGTAGGTGTGTCACCTCTAGGCGTTCTGTAAGCTTGTGGCACGTCCGGAGGCATTCTATGCACTATACAGACATAAAATGAAATAGACATCCAGAAAAATATTCAGGGGGTAATCAAATGAAAGGTTACCATTGTGTACATAAGACAATACCTAAGATGCAATTTAGGATGTGTCGTTGTAGACAGAAGCACGTCATTCTGTAGTTGAAGCAACAAATCAGCGAGGATTACCAAGTTTGATCACTAAGCCAAATTTCACTGACTTCAACACCGAAGTAGTTCGTTGCCTGGACCCTTCCCAACTAACAACACACACTAAAGCGCTACACCTGCATTCATGCATGAGGTATACAATGAGCGGATGTAGTTTACCACAGGGTTTCTCCATGGGTGCAAGAAGTTCTACAGTTGAATACTTCAATTAGCTGCAGCTTAGGTTGATCGCTGCCAAAGCCATGACTTTGACAATCCAGTCTACAGGAAAGCAGCGATTACAAGCCGTTTCGCTAATTGGAGCATACCGCGAAGGCAAAGTTGCATCTAGAACTATGTGTGTGGGTATCCAAAGCCTTACTATACTGGGAACCGCTTTGACTGCAATTGCATTTATCCAAGTCGCTTATATTAGTTTGCAAACGTTCACGTTACTACCTCTCGTTCTTATCATTAGGAGCGCCAGCCATGCCAGGTGTCAGCTCGATCCCCATCGGTCATACAATGAACACCAAAGCGGCATCTCCGCCTTGGCCGGAATTCGTCTCGGCTCGTTCTTTTCGCTACCACCTCATTCGAGTCGTCGTCTTCACTCAGGCGGTCTCGTTTCGGGCTAATCATGACTGCTTGGTCGCCGTAGTCTCCTTCAATAGCATCAATATTACTCCGGTTAGCTCATGTAGGCTACGATACAACATACGTAAAATAAACTGCATACAATGCCGTATACAAGACATCATGATATACAACATACCATTGTTCGGAGTACGCCATATCGCATCAACTCCTGCCGTCGTCTTCGCCGCTTACATCAACGCCAAAAGATGTCGGAAGCCTTGAGCGCCGGGATCCTGAGTGGGCCTTTCCCCCAGGCCTTCGAACGCCAGGTACGAATGCAGCGGGTTGAGCAGTGCGATCGAGCCCAACAGCTTGACAGAGTACGACAGCTCGTACAGCTGCAGCAGCAGACGCTTGCGTGTAAGCAGCATAAACAACTGGACCAAGACTAATCCAAAGTCTTGTCAGCAAGCATGATTCTCGCAGACATCTCTGAATAATGACCAAACTTTCCAAGCGCTAAAGAAGCACCAAACGCAGGAGCGTGCTATCATGAAGGACAACACGTACCAAATAAAACAGGTCAGCAATAAGGTATATCATTCGTTCGCTATGAGCGTACCGTTAGCGCCGTACTCGAGCGCCGATGACTCGCACGATCATCCGTGATTTCTGTTGATTCTTCTGTCGACTTGAGCCCTGGCCGCGCAAATTCTCGAATGAGGCGGATTTTGCAAAAGCGGCAAATGGAAGTCGCTGCGAGCCACCCAGTCCGATACCTTGCGATTTTGTTCAAATCATACTGTGGGTCCCGCGCCCTTGCCAAACATTATATTCCGAATTTTGACAAACGCTGGTCTTTGACATATGGAAAAATAAAAAGGCGCGAACAGAAACTAAACGTAATTTTATCTTGACGTTTGAAAAGTGGTGTGTCGGGGGAAAGGACAGTCATACAAATTTCAAGTCAAAATTTGCTTAAACTGCATATATGCAGTTTAAGCCTTCAAATCTAAGCTGTATTATGCAGCATCCGGTTTGAAGGGGTTAAATCAAAATTTGTGCTGCAAAACCGCTATTATGGCTCGAGCGTAAAATCTCAACTGATACTGGTGATACATAACAAGGAGACCAGAATACGAGTCATTGTGCCCAAGTTTATCCATTAGAAAACGCACTTGCAGGTACAACCTCTTTACCATGTCTGTAGTGTGGAGTTGATGCAGCCATACAACGAGCACGAGGGATTGTCCATTTCAAGTGTCGTTTCTTCGAAGGCAATGCGCCAAAACGTTTGATCATTTAACTTGTCCTACGGACGTACTAATTCGAAATCGAGTGTCGAGGACACGCCAACTATTTAACCTATTTTATTTTTAATGCACCCTAATGCACTGGACCGCAGTCCCAAGTTTGCCTCACCCAACGTTCCTTAGCTATCCCAGCCTACCCAAAGCTCTCGTCTTGAAACCGGTGCGACTCCGGTGCCGCCCAAACGGTTTATATGTGTGGGCAGATCGAACCGGTGTGCTACCGACGACACTGGTATGAATCAGTGCATATATTGAGCAGGGTACGGATGGACGAAGTGAAGTGAAGAGAACGCTTGGACTGTACAATAGCGCTAGAGGTACTAAGTAAGCATTTGCATTTTCTAAAGCTGCAGAACAAATCTCAACTAAGGCTCGCATTTTTAATGTTGTAAAGCATTGCCGGTTGATATCTTGCATCTACAGCTTTACTAAAGTAAGAAACAAATCCGGGCAGATGCTGCGGATGCGAAGCAGGAGCAGGAGATGACCGTAGCTAGTAAGAACAGAAATTAATAAAAAACTAAAAAAGAAGGTTTATTCAAAAATTCTCCTATCCCAGCCTTCGCGGAACCCTAGTTGTGGCGAGCACTACAAAGCTATGCCACATACATACCAACATCTATCAATTCTCACAGAAAATCAATGGCTACTTATAGCTTGCATACATGAATTCCACGCTGCGGTGCAAATGAGGGGCGTAGCCCCAACATTTCTATTTAGAGCCAATGTTCTAATTACCAGGCTACCTGACATCCTGTCGGACAAATTTGAAAATTTGAAGACCAGGAGCTGTCCATACGCTGTGCGGAGGCTAAGACGTTATTTTTTACGTTTAGCTAGATATTATAGAGTCGTTGTAGGCTGAATGATTATCCTTTGCTACTGTTTCATTGCCAACCTTTTTGTGGATCTGGTGGTAAGCGACTTCTATTTATTTTTCATGGGTTTTGGGTGGTGGCAATATGGTTAGTAGTCAGTGGCTACTAGCCAAATTGACTTACACAAACTGTAGTTTAAATGTTGCCTGAGGTACAAACAACTTTTTTTGACAAATTTATCGGTGCTCTTCTAGCTGTCCTCCCGCTGGTGGTGCCCTACAGGCTACTACGTAGCCTTCCCGGTATAAACTCTCATTGGTGTGCCTAAGATGGAAGCAGCTCAGATGAGGTTTAACTTCTAGTTTTATTGGCACATGTGCTCCTAACCCGGCTGCTGCATAATGCCGGATTAGGATTTTCATTCATTCTTAGGTTGACCATGCAATCTTCTGACGATCCTCTCCAGAACTTATCAAGCCTATCGCTAGGTTGTTATTGAATATAGGAGCATGCTCTCGAAGAGCAAAACCAAAAAATAAGTCATCTACAGTTTGATAATGGCACCCTCACACAACTGCACCCAGTATTCTCTTGAATTCTATCTTCAGCAACGTACTGTAACGTTGTTTTTTGGGGGAAGGCACATTTATTTCTCTTGAGAGCATACACGACGCTCTCCTTAATTTTTTCATGTTGTTGCGATCACAACATTACCTCCTTCAAGTGTTGTAAATTGGATAGGCAAAAAAATATCATGATCTATTCTGTGCATCACAGATAGCAACAATTCCATGCTTTTGCTGTTGTTCAAAGGCCAATAGGTGCTGATCGTTCTGAGATAACTGCGCTGTTTGCCGATGCGATGATCATGTTGTGGTGTTTCGCCTCCATTTGCTTCGCTCGCCCGAGATAGAAAGCCATTAAGGCCTAAAGCAGTCAAACATAAGCATTATACATCCCTCCCCCGGAAGAACCCGTGTAGGCACCTACATACCTCTTTCGACCTCGCTGCCTTGGACTTGACTACGGGGGCAGGTGGGGCTGGACTCGGCTTTTTGCGCTCTGGGATCGACTCGATGTTTGGGTCACGCGCCAACTTAGTCGCGATAGGCTTTCGTTGCGTCTTGTTAGCTGGCTCAGGCTCTGGCAAAGGCTGCGGAGTCGATACAGCAGCAGCCACCGGCTTGTTCGAGGTTTCTCCAGCCGCCGCAAAAGGGTTCTTGTCGTCAATGTCTGCAGTCCGCATCTCGCCAGGAGTCAGAGACAATAGTTCGGTACCGTCATCCTCACCCCCACGCGGAGTGGGTGGCAGCCCCAGATCGATCCACTCGTCGCCGTCCACATCCACGCTGCGTCCAAAAGAGCACACGACGTCCATTGTGTCGCGGGCACCAAGAACGGAATGGCCTCCCGACTATCTCGTCTGACGAGATGAAATGCAGTGGCGGGCACCCATGCCGCGCGCAGCACAATCCTTAAACGGTACGCAAATCCTCCACGTCCTCCAGTCACTACCTCCAGGTGGCATAGCAGCAACAGCTGGTGGTGTTTGTTTTTCGTATGACCCGGACCATCCTGGCTGTGCTTGAGAGCGAAACCATAGTCCACTCACAGTCCTGAGCAAGGCGAACGTATTATAAGGCACACTCACGACAATCCTAAACTGACGTTCGGGTTGAAGTTGTCTGCTTGGCACTGCAACTTGACTGACGGATTCTAGGCTTGACTCGGTGTGGCCAGCACAAGAACCGAGAAGAGAAGACCAACTTCGTACAATATGCAGGTGGGGTGAACGGAAAACGCGTATTATCACGGCTTTGATTTTCTATCTACAGGAGAGCCTGGCACGGCAGTTTTGCACTCTCCATTGTCCACAACCCATTCGTCTGACACTTCAAATCGCTTCCGATCCCGCACCAACTTGCTTGTCAAACAAAGCCCGATCATGTTGAAGTTGTATGTATACCTTCCGAGTATGACGTTTACCTACTGAAAAAATAGATTGGACAGTGTCATGTAAACTTAAACGAAACGCGCATCTTCGCCTGTTCCCTTTCTCTTCAGAAAACGGAATCGAATTCGACACTTGAAAGGTCACCCTTGACAGCAAAGAACCAGAAGCGGTTACGCAGCTTTTGCCGGAAGATTGCCCCACCCCACCCTCGAGTTCACTTAAACGCTCTCGATGAAGGCCAAGAAGCAGCGCAAGCCCTCGCCCGACGTGGCCATGCAGGACGTCTCGGAGCCCAAGCCCAAGCCAAGGCCTAGACGCGCCAAAAAGAGCTCTGCCAAGGCTCCCAAGGCGGCGGTGGGCGGCAAGCTGGCAAAGTTTAAGGAGGAGCAGCACGTGAGTGTCTAACCTCGGTGACTCGACTTTTGTATGGTGCTAACCGGGGGGGGGGCAAAATGGTGCTAAAACTTGTGTTACAGTTGAAGATAGAGACGAAAGGTATCGGCCAGGAGGGACAAGGCGACGCCGAAAGCAAGGCGCCACCCTCCTCTAGCAAGAAGAAGCGTCGACGCGCTGCGGAGATCGACCGCAAGTATCGCTGTACTTTTGGAGACTGCGACAAGGTAAGACTAACTCTATCAGGTTTTGTTGCTTGTTGCAGTTTAGGCTAGTGTTAACACCATCACATGGTTAGGCCAGCTCTAACCATTCTTTTCCTTTTTGTACAGGCGTATGGCTCCGAGAGCTCGCTAAGTCATCATCAGAAGCTCAAACACCCCGAAGAGGTGGCGGAGGCAGCTGCAGAGGCCCAAGAAAACCAGGTTCGTTCCTAAAACAAAACAAAAAATATATAATCTTGGTTAGGCTAGTGCTAACCGTGTTGCTGGCAATCAGGCTCCCACCTACCCGGTGTACACCCGCAATGTCTCTATCCGTCCAGCCACCCCTTTGGTCGCTTTTGCCTCGGACTCGAGCCTGCTCCTCACCCCTCCAGCCACCTCCGACCTCAGCGACGGCTTTGTGTCGCAAAATGACGTCGCCCCTCCCTCCGCTAAAGCCCCTCGCCGCAACATGCGCTCTCGCTCCAACTCGGAGCCGGTGTCTCTAACCGACGCCCCAATCGTCTCTATCCCCAAGCCTCGAGCCAAAACGCCCCGCAAACCTCGTCGACCGGCCACGCCGCACCCCAAAAAGGCAACAAACGCCTCAATTCGACGCGCAAAAATGCGCTCCAAGTCCGAGTCGCTGCCCGAAATGCTCCCGTTCGAGTCTCTAACCGAGCTCAAAATGCCGCCACCTCGCCCAATCGACGCGGTGCTCGACCCCATCTTGCCACTTGATTCCGGTGGTCGCGGGTCCTTCGAGTGGCCGATTCCAGCACCTTCGGACCACCACTCGACGTCGCTGTCAAGTGACGACCAGGCCATCGACAGCGACATTCTGTCTGTGCTGGTCAATTGTGACGCGGAGGACGTCGGGGACCCGTCGGTGCTGGACTTTGCAGGACCCCCCTCGACCAGCGCGTTCCAGTCGTCCAACGCGAGCTTCGTGGAGAGTGAGGACGTCGAGATGCTGCCGGTCGGGATGGAGTGCTTCAAGATTTCGGAACATTCGACTGTGCCGACGGAGACGCCGACGGAGTTTGCGATGAACGAGCCGGAGGCCGAATTGGGCTTGAGTGCGTTCGCCGCGCTGGGAGACGACTGGCACTTGTCGAGTCATCTGGAGAAAATGACGGTGGAGACTCCACCTGACAGTCTGAACTCGATGTTTGGGAGACTGTCGGCGGGTGAAGGGACTGCAGGAAGGCTGCGGTCGGCCTCGGATCCGGTTCATGTAGCTGCTGCTCCGATACACCCTGCGCTCAGCCATCTTTCATCCATGCCGGTGGAGCCCTTGGCCGTCAAAAGCGAAGTTGCTACCGACTCAATCGTTCAGCCATCACCAGGTGGGAATAATGAGTTGCTCGGCCATGATGATAGTAATTATCAACAATGGTTCGGAGATACCGCCGCGGCAGGAGCGGTCAAACCGGAGGATATCAGCTCCCAGCAGGAAATGCTGTGGGCGCCAACAGAGGCGAGAGTTGCAACTATTGGTAACCCACAGCCAACATCTCAAACACTCGATGAACTGCTGCAACATGATGACGCAGCTGAGTGGAAAGCCGCCAGCGAATTCGAGGCCGGCAATGCTGACGTCAATTACGCTGGGATGGCTTCCACGCTGCTGTGAAGGCTACTCTAGCCCAGCGATAGACGGCGACCCAGCTACCTTTGGGTCGAGCGGCTTCATCCGCTGCGAGTTGGCTTCTCTTTCGCGGTCCTCTGGCCACGAGAACGTCAGCGTCAACCCCCGACTCGGAGCGCGAGAGCAGCTAACTCGACTTTTCTCTTTGCTATAGGTGTGAGATCCCGGGCAACCAAGGCGTGTCGAGTGTATTCGTGGTTGTCGACTTGGGCTCTGTGTGTATACTGCCTGCATAGCGTATTCTTTTTCTTCGATGTAGCGGACGCGGATGGAAAATCGTGGAGGGCAGCGTGATAACAACTCGTTGCCAAGTCCGGTTGTATAGGCAAATCGTGCCACCCGCGCGTGAATGTGTTGAAACAAGAGACAACAACTAAAACCTGCTTGGATGTTGCTCATGTTTTAGCGCACTGTCTTCTATTTACGCCAAGTCAAGTGCCCCTCGAGCTTCAAGCGTCACAAGGTCGACTCGTTGGTGGCGCCTTTTGGTCTCGCCGATCCAATAGAGCTCATGGCTGCTCGAGACGATGCTTCTTCTTCTTCTTCTTCTTCTTCTTCTTCTTCTTCTTCTTCTTCACGCCTAAATGGAGCCTCGGAGAACCCTCGCGCTCCAGTGCAACAGCGGCTACACGATGGCTTTCGTACAGACCGTCGGTATCTGTCCCAAATGGTGCTGGAGGCCCAAAACGAGCGCTGGGCTAGAGTAGACGCTGTGTTGGAGCTCAAGCAAGATTTAGACGCGTCTTCAGCGAGAATCGCCGCTCAGAGCGCGACAATCCAAGCCCAGCAACAAGCGGAGAAGACTCACCAAGCTCGAACGCACCAGAGTCTGCTGGACCAGGGCAAGAATCCGTACGAGGTGGCGAGACGCAACGTGGTGCAGCGAGAGGCTCGCAAGGAGCGGGCCAAGATCGAGCGCAACATCCAAGACCGCGAGACGAAGCTGCTGGGGAGACTGGAGAATGAGAAGGTTCTCCAGCGACGCAAGGAGAAGATCGAGGCCGAGAATCGCGCGTATGAACGCAAGTACCAGCGCGAAATGGGGCGAGCGGCGCAGGAGGAGCGCAGGAACGCGTATCTGCTGTCTCGGACTGGCAAAGAAGCGCTGGACCCGACGGGCAAACTCGTGCGGGTGTATCCGTCCCAAGAGACGACGATCAAGGACTACAGCTTCGGCCTCGGACGCAGCGCCGTACTGAGTCCCGAACACCGGCGACGCGTAGTTGCAAAGGTTTTATCGAAACCTGCTCACGCTGGGACGGAGCCGACTTCCCTCCTGCTGCCACGAAGGAGAACGCGCCACACGCAGCAAGAGTTCGAGGACCCGACGCTGAGTTCGGGGCGATCCGAGAAGGACGAGAACGAAGACGCCGAGCTCAAAACTTCCGCGAGACTGGTCATGCCGCCACTGCCAGGTGTTAAACCTGGCCACGACCTTCGCAAAGTGAACCACGCGCTGCTGCCGAGTAACGACGTCAAGTTGCCTCCGATTCCGGGGAAAAACGCTCGTCGAGCTCAAGACTCTCGGCTCGAAGAGGAGGACAACCCGGCGTCCGAGGATGTCTCTAACCCGATAAAGCTGACAAAGTCTCGAGGGCGTAGCGTGTTGGAGGAGCGACAACTGGCAAAGGCCCGACAACGACAGAAAGACGCGAGATTCGCGCAGCCTCAAGTCGTCTGGGGCAAGGCGTTTACGGGGAACGCGTTCCTCGCCAACCCTTCGACGCTCTGGTTCAAGGACTTTGACGTGGGTCACCCGCTGACGCTCAGCTTCACGCTCACGAACATCTCCAACACGTTCAACCAGTTCCGACTATTGGCCATGGACGACGAAGTGCTCGAGCTCTTTGACATTGTGTACGAGAAGCCAGGACGCATGTCCGCGGGCATGAGCTGCTCCCTGCGTATGACGTTCACGGGGGTGGAGGGAAGAGATTTAGACTCAACTCTCTCGGTCGCAGCCCCCACAGGGGTCTTCCAGATCCCAGTACGCTGTACGTGTAAGAAAGCCGTCCCAGTGCTAAACCAGAGAGAGGTTCGCTTCCCCGAAGTGGTCGCGGGTGAGCGAGCTACAGTCTCCTTGACGCTGGCGAATGATGGCGCTCTCCCGCTGGAATTCCGAGTGCGCCGTGTTCCACCCGCTTCAACCGACACTCCACGGTCCGTAGCTCACGTGGATGATCTACACGCCACGGAAAAAGGAGAAGGCGTTAATGCGAGTGATTATGCAGACGCTGCTGATCCTGAAAACTTACTACAACAACCCAACGCCAGCGAGAATCCCCAAGAAGACAAAGGGGAAGATGCCAAGGGATATGAACCAGCTCAAGACGCTGCGGACGGTGGAAACAACGATGATGATGTCGGCCAGCAGTCAACACCTGCCTCTCGAGCCGCTAGTGCCGCCTCCACGAAATCTTCGGCAAGTCGAATAACGCAAGTCGACGCGGTTGAGCCAGAACAACAAGAAGAAGAAGAAGACGATAATGACGTGAGGGACCCTCTGACTGCAGAAGAGCGCGAGCTGGTCGAGCGTGTTCGTGAGACGACAAGGTTCAAACCTGACGGGGCCGAGGAGCCCGTTCGTTTCACAAGACGCGGAGTTGTCGAGCCGTATTCCAGCAGCTCCGTGTCCTTCACGTTCGCACCCGCAGTAGCAATGAAGCTGGAGAGCGAGCAGTACGCCCTCGAGTTCCCAGCTGCTTCATCTTCTGGACTTTCGTCCCCCGATCTGCGCAAACTCGCCTCCATCTGCGTCTCCGTCTCCGGCGTCGCCTCGGAAGTCCCAGTTTTCGTCGCCCAATCCAAGCTGAACTTCCGCTGCTGCGCTTACGGGAAGCTGTACCGCCACCAGCTCGTCGTCTGCAACCGCGGCAAAGTCGCGCTCAAGATTCAAGTCCAAGTCCCCAAGGTTCTGGCCAAGTACGTGGAGTTCAACCCCAGTTTCGGCTTCGTTCAGGCTGCAGTGGCGTCGCAGGAGGGGAAATTCCCGGTACAAGTCAAGTTTCGACCCGAAGAGGGCATGTGGAGGCGCATTGAGCGCGCCGGACTGGGCTCAAAGGATTTGGGGATGCTGGCAGTCCCCATTCAAGTCGTAGTGCCCGACCAAGTCGTTCCGGTCTTCTTCTTGCTGACTGCGAGACTCACCCCCACGACTCTGCAGCTAGACGTCAAGACTGAGAACTCTGAAGGTGGACTGCACTTTGGCTCGTGTTGCGTCGGACACAGCATTAGCCACGAGCTGATGATCTCCAATGCAGCGCGCGTGCCCCAGCGCATTGGCGTCACCACGCTACCGAAAAATGTGACTGTAACTGACGTCTCTGCGGGAGTGGGGGTTGTGCTGTTGCCTGGCGAGACTCGGACACTGCGAGTTGTGTACGAGCCGAGCTTTCCAGGTTCAATGAAGGCTGCGGGCCACACGTCGCGAGCGAAGGCTGTGCTGACGCTGTGGTCCTCCACGTTCAACCAAGAGTACACTCTTCCGTGCTCAGGGAGCGGCGTGGCTAGCGATCTGGTGTTCTCTCACTCGGCTATTCGGCTCGGCGCTACGTCCCTGGGGCAGACGCAGACCTGCAATGTCAAGCTGACCAACCAATCCGACCACCACACGCGCCTCGTAGAGCTGCGACTGCCGCCTGAAGCGACTCCTTTCCTGCGAATTACCCCGTTGGTGGCGTGTCTGGCACCACGTGAGACTGTGCGCTTGGAGATCGACTTCGAGCCGACGGAGGACATCTTCAAGCTTGATAAAGCGTGCTATCTCGAGGCGAAGACTGACTCGAACAGTGCTTTCAATGACGGGAATACGTCTCACATAACCTCAGCTAGAAGTGTAGAGGCGGATTTGAGTCCTGACGAAGCCTCGGCACCGCTTAGTGACCGGCCAGTCGAAGACGTTGATGCAAGGCCGGCAACACCGACACCTGATGATACCATTGGGCCTCGAAGCTGTCACCACACTTGGACTGTCCTGTGTTTTCATCAGCTCGAGGCGACTGCAGACGCCAAACGATCGACCAAAGCGGAGACACGAACACCATTGCAAGCTCTCGAGGTGCGAACGACCGTGACTGAGCCGTTGTTGACCCCGTCCGACACGATGTTGGACTTCGGGCAGGTGGCGATTGGCCAAATGCTGGTGCGAGAGCTCACGCTGGAGCTGGCAGCAAGAGCGACCGACGGTGTGTTGCTGCGCGCCCAACCGCTGCATGTCCTGGGGGCATTCCGAGTAATTGGCGCCTTGCGTGAGGTGTCGTCTGCCCCCGGCAGTAGGAAGAAGCGTACTATTCGAGTGGAGTTTGAGCCGCGGACGCCTTTGATCTACGAGGACGAGCTGGAGCTGACAGCGCTGGGCGTGAATATCCGGGTTCGGCTGCGTGGAGAAGGCATCAACCCCAGCTTAACCCTCACGCCTGCAGACGGGAGCTTGGACTTCCAGGACGTGCTGGCTCGAACCCGCAGCGTGCGTGACCTGGTGCTAGCGAACGGCAGCGCCTTCCCGTTGGCCTTTTCGATCGAAGCGCTGGTTAAAGAGGACGGCGACTCGATGACGACTTCCACGGGTTTACCGGTGTTCACGTTCTCTCCTACGAGCGCCATTATCCCCGAGAACGGTTCAATCACGGTACACGTGGGGTTCCAGCCTGACCACCAGAGACCCGGCCACTACGCGAAGAAGTACCGGATCAAGGTGCCGAACGAGAGCGAGCAGCACGTTGTGAGCGTAGCCGGTCGCTGCTGGGAGAACCAGTTCTACGTATTCGCACCGACTGTAGACACTTCCCCACTTCCAAGTGACCTTGAAGCTGAGATAGCACCCAAGCGACCGCCGCTCTTGACGCCTCGTCCAGTGGAAGATCTGTTTGACTTACCACCGAGCGTTCCACTGAGCCTGCTTCCTCACACCATTGGAGTGGGGGAATTGTCAGCCACAGGACTCCGCAAACCCGTATCCTCCTTCATCCTCACCTTCGCTGAGGACAATGTCGACGGTGATAGTGGCGATGCTGGACGGTTCACCAAGACTCTGTTCATTGGCAGCACTACACCAAGCAGCGGCATCTACGGTGGACTGGATGAAGTGCCTTCAGGATCGACTGCTGCTAACGCTAATGCTGGCGGCTCTGCTGGCTCCTTTGAGCTCGCGGTGGACGTTGCCTCGCCCCATGCCAAGCTGTTCACGCTCGAGCCAGCGCGTGGAGCCATCGCCCCTGGCCAACAACTCGCAGTTCAAGTGACGTACGCTCCGCCAGCCCCAACGACTGCGTCGGAGACCCCAACGCCTGCGAGTTCAGCTCGATCGACGGTATCGGCTCCAGCGACTTCTGCTCGGGTCAAGTCAGCCCAGCGTCGGCCGGAGCTGGAGGTGGTGCAGTGGGTGCAGGTGCGAGTGCAGTGCACGCTCAAGGGCGGAAGCCTCTGGCGGACATTGCCACAAGCAGGAGGGGCTCCAGCACAATTATCCGTGGCGGCATCTGGGACGGCAGCAGCTGCAGCCGGTCACCAGAAAGGAGCTGCGGCACATACGGGAGTCCCACCAGCTTCTGATGGAGCGGATACGCGCATTGTCACAGTGATTTTGAGAGCTCGGCTAGAAACATAGCCTAGTTTCCTGTTTGAAATGGAGATACGCGATCAATGTAGACGTGTATTTTCATTCATTTTTGTATTTCTTTACCTGCTGAACATGTGCGTACCGACTTTTGGAATGTTTATGGAAGCGAAGGATGGCGCAATATATTTGGTTTCGATATAGTCCAGGAGCTTGGGATACTTGTGCTAACGACAACTCGAAGATTCAAGCATTTATATTCAAGCGCCAGAGCATGACGCTCCATGGGCAGTCCGAGTTCGACGTGTTCGCCAAGCCCGTCGTGTCGGCCGAAGGTGCCAGTGTGTTCTACATGTACGATGGCTACGCCAAATTCGTGGAGGGAGACAAGACGCTCACGTATTCGTACGTGAATGACGCTGGGCATTTGCCCACAAACGACGGAGAGAAACAGAACGCCGAGTGCATTTCATCGACGACGCTGCCATTCCACATCTTGCCTGCGCTGAACGACGCGACGCCCATTCCAAGCGCGTCCATAGGCGACGAAGGCGTCGACTATGAGAGTGGCAGCCTCTTCAAGACAACGTTCGCTGGAGCTCAGTTCGCTATTTGTTCGTCGGGTAAGGCGGATTTCACGGCGTACAGCAGCGACTTTGACATTAACGTGGAGTACTTGGACTCCTCCGTCAAGGTTGAGGAACCAGCGCTGAGTGCTGGAGCGTCGTGTGCTGCCGTGGCTCAGCCAAGCTCCGTGACGCCTAATACGCTGGCCTTGCTGACGGGTAGTACTATTCCACTCGGTACTTCGAGGAAGCTGAAGACCGCAGAGGACATGGCCATGGAAGCGTCTTCGTGCAAGTGCAAGTCGAAGCCTCGTCCGTGCGTCTTCTTCCACGGTATCGGCAACCGGAACGAGATGGAGGAGCTGCAGGACACGGCCAAGAAGGCCAGTGGTCGCATGGGCAACATGAACAAGCACACCCCCTGCTGCACCGAGGTCAAGTACGCCATCTTGAACACGATGGACTATAGCTGGACTAACGACACACTCGAGCAAAAGTTCTGCGATCGCGCTCTCAGATTGAGCGACACTAGCGACGCAGAGCTGGGAATCATCCGAGACACGGTCTTGGTGACGCACTCGATGGGCGGCCTCGTCATGTCAATGGCGTTAGCTACGGGCAAGTGCAGCTTTGGCGAGGGTACAACGTGGGTGGCTTCGAGCTCGCCCATGCTGGGGAGTATGGCGTCGGACTACTTCCAGGATTCTGCACCGACGAGATCAGTGAGGTCGTGACCAACGTGTTGGAGTTTATCGGGCAGTGCCCCATGCCTCTCTCGCGGCAGTCTATTTTGTATTACAAGGACATATACGCGTCCGAGGCGCTGAACGCGGCCTATGAACTTGCTCAAGAAGCCTACAGAGGCAACGTGAGTGCTGCCATGTGTGGCGATAGCCCGAATGGCATTTTCTCACGATACGAGTGAGATACGAAGCCATCATGCTTATCGATGCTAAACTGGTCCCGCACAAGTCTCCAGAGAACGACGCCCTTGTGGAGTTCCAGAGCTGCGCGATAGGCCTCGACGAATCGAAGTTTGGCAAGAGTTACAAGGACAAGTTCTACAAACCGGAGCTGAATCATGCAGACACGGTGTTTTTGACTGGCGATGGGTACTTCAAAGACTCCCAGAAGTCTGTCAAGTGGTTCGAGTGTCTGCTGTAGAAAACGTGTTGCTTTTTGCTTCGAAGTATAACATAAGAAATGGATTTGGCCCTGTATGATTGTGGTCAGGGATTGACAGTAACACGATTTTCTTCTGAATTACTATAGTCATATACTAGTAATGGAGCATCTCAGTCGCGTTGCTCCGTTGAGTTGCTTCGGGGGTCGACACCCTGCAGTGGAGTCTCCACTTCAGGCCGACGTCCCCACCCTCTAATTGATCTTATCAATCACCATTACTATTTTTTGTAGTGTAGTGAAGCAAACTTAGGGCTAAGGGCGTGTTCGCGACCGTTGCAATTTAGAGTCTCAGTTTAACCCGTGCAGGTCATCAAACCAATAAGCAATTAGCAACACTGGTGGAGCTGCACGATGAAGTCTTCATTATCAGCAAATAACGTTACTATCTATCGCGAGGTCAAGATAATCAACGCCAATTACATACCAGCAGCAAGAGAGCACTATTAATGATGCTGGACTATATCTCGCGAAACCCTAGATCACGGTTAATCGCAAGGGTGAGCTGCAGCACCAGCGGTTCAAGATCAATTAGTGGTAGCCGACAGCCCAAAGCAAAATACATGTAGCAAGGGATAATTGTTGTTAAAAGCTATAATATTCAGTTTCGATTTTCCAGCGTACTCAATACAGCATCTCGGCTCCCGATGACCGCCGTACTTCCTCTAGTGCTACATACCATATCACTTATACCATATCACGTACCGGTATTAATAACACTATTTAAAATTATTACACTATCGCAAGATTCTCTATTCTATCGGCAGCAAGTGGTTGCGAGGAGCACAGCCAAAGCAAACCCGCGCGGGGTGCCCGTGAAGCATGTCCGCGTAGGAGGGCCCAGCAACCAGCAGGGCAGCGAACGTTGCGGCTTGGAGCTAGTTCCGTAGTGTGGGGTGCGAGCCCCCAAGGTATAAGGAGACTACCTGCGTCACTGCCAGGAGCTATCTGTAGGCTACAGGCTGTAGCTTCACAGAGTATTGGACATGGTGAGCTTTGCGTAGCACGTATCCATGCAGGCAAGTTGAAGTGCACTCTCTTTTAGCAATTCTACCCTTCCCAGCACTAACTCACTCGTAGTAATGGATGCAAGCGCTGACTTGGCGCTCTAAATCAGAGTGAAGCCGAGGACTTGGTGGCGTTTTTTTTGCGCTCGGTGTGATCTAAAGTGTAGCAATTTATCTAAACCCGCGATTCGCTTCCCGATGCCTGTTTGATTAGCGTTTATCGTCGAGGCTAAATCGTGTCCCCCCACTTTAATGGCATCGACCCCTTCTCAGAAGGGGTCACTCCAGTTTTTACGCAGTTAAGCATGTCTATGGATCAAGAGAGGGTTGTTCAACCGAGGTTTTTTGCGCAATTTTTGGCCCCGGGGAAGTGATTCTAGATGTAAACCCTAACCGTTCATGTCTCAGATTAAGAGAGGTAAGTAAAGAGAGGTAAGAAATAGAGTAAAGAGGAGTGATAGATGATTATAAGTGGGGACTTCGTCGCCAACTAGTAGAAGACAACAGGATACTATAGTAATAGTATCATCGAGTCTAGGATCTCGACTACTACAGTACTATTAATGCATTATAACTTAGTACTTCCTAGTAATTTCGATGATCGATCTTCAAAAAGCCTACATCTTTGTCGCTGCACGCTTCACACATTGGATTCTTCGTTCAAAAATTCTTCGTTTGCGAGCATGAGGTGCTGGTTCTTATTCAAAGTTAAACCATCCCGTTGAGAAGCATCGGTCGATTCCTGAAACCACTTTAGACCCGTCTAATTGATTCATAATATGTATATGTATTTAATAATAATAATATTATTATGCACTTACCTCTCTAAGTGGCTCCCATATAAGCTGTGCAACGTGGGGATCATTCCTTCGAAGGGGGAATTAAGCTCACGCCACCAAAGCAATCTTGACCACTTCAGGGGATCGGGGTTTGCTGTATGCGGGACTGACACGAGCAAAGCCAGCGTATCAATGTTGTGTACGGTGGTTGGATCAGTGGCCCTGCACGTCGTAAATCTTCATCTCTACTAAATGGGATTGTGGCCAAACCTCATTTGGAAGCCGAAAGATTGACACACACGCCGCTAAATTCCTTCAAGTGCGTGACAGTAGTCAGCATTAATAAATGTGGCATATCTGAGTTGGGACTTACTAAAGCTACGTGATAAAATTGCTAGAGCTACTTGGTGGTACCCAGATTTTGGTACTCCCAGTCGGTTGCTGTAGAACGAAAATGCCTGTAACCATACTTGGGCTACGATTTCATAAAGCAATTCGCTAAGGCGCACGACAAGCAAACACGTCGCCCGATCCTGTCGTAAGCTTCGCTGTGACTAAAGCCATTCTGCTCGCTAACCTCACCCCCTGAACATCCTGAATGCCCAACCGTCTCCTTACCAGGAAAAGGGGGCTACGGTAAGGATACTCATCAAGTAGCCGCAACGATACACCCAAAATGAGAGCACGTGCTCATATACCTCACTGCCATACACGCAGCGCATCAAAGCTCCGAAAGCAAGTCCCTGTTCTGCCAACGTTGCTGAGTTCGCTGCTGTTTGCCCACATCACGCTGCTTTGCTATACATGTAGCTGTTCATCAGAGAACTTAGCATCTAGCTGTTTCCGATGTCACCTGTAGGCCTGGCGGGCATCAAGTATCGTTGTCAAGGTGCAAGCTGGATGGCAAGAGCCCCTTAGGCCTTGAACATTCTTCAGCATCAGAACGGCTAGAGCTCCCGAATTGTGTACCAAAATATGGGTACCACCCGGTAGCTCTAGTACTTTTGTCACGTAGCTTTAGTAAGTCCCATCTGAGTTATTGTCGCTTTCAAGGATTTTGCGCACTCTATTCGTCTTATAACTCGTCTTCGCGGTGTCACAAATCGTTGTGCATTGCGATCAAATCGTTGCTCAAAGCGCGAATTAGCTGTGACGACCAACTTACCTAGCCAAACTGCTGAATGCTGAAGTACTTGACGCTTCGAGAGTAAAAACTATTCCCCATAGTGCAGCGCATAGCGCAGGATTTTCTCGTCGCTGCATACAAATACTCCATTGAAAAGCTAACTAACACGCAAGTTGCAGCTTGGCGAGTTGCAAAAACGAATGGCGGATGGTTCAACCGCCATTCGTTGTTTTTCATCGATAGCTCGTTGCGCTTCTGGCTATTCGTCCTTCAAATCACTGAACCGTGATTCCGCAGAAGTCGTCCTCTAAATCGTCAATATTTAAGTCTCTCCGCCAAAATACATGAAACGCACAATACTAGTTACTGCAGTAGTATTAGTCGGCTCATCGTCCCAAAATACTAGCTACTATATTATTAGCATCATTACAATATTGATATCAATTGGATAGTAGTTAAAAACAAACTACTGTCAATCCCTGAGCGGGTGTTTACTGTATTGGGGCGAAGCCCCCCTATAATCACGTAGCATATTTATTATGATACATGTTACTGTTAAGATTGCCGCTTGCAAATACTTTGCCCTCTACGAGAACTTTAAGTAGGCTGGGATAGCTAAGGAACATTGGGTGAGGCAAACTCTGGACTGCGGTACAGTGCATTGTGTCTTATTCGGCGAGGCGGTGTATTTAAACAAAGTTAAGTAGTTGGTGTCTCCCCGACACTCGTTTTGAATTAGTACGTCCGTTGGATAAGTTAAATGATCAAACATTTTGGCGCATTGCAGTGGAAAGAAAGACATATTGATTACGGAGTTTTGTTTGGATGGACAATCCTTTGTGCTCGTTGTCTGGCGAACGGCGTTATGGAAAGGTGATTACAATATGACGACAGCTCTTACAGCACAATAGCAAGTGTTTTCTACATAGCAAACGCCACACCACGCAACACAGAGGTAGTATGGAAGGGTGCTTGCTATGTAAAACTAGGTTTGCGGTAAACTATCTGCGATTAATTACAAAAGTTACCGAGCGGAATATCACAGAAGACATCTAGTCTTAAAGAGGCTGTTGGTACACACCAAGCGTGAAAGAAGATGAAACCAGGCGACCTTAGCAGCGGTGCTCTGTTGGCCTCACCGCTACCGCCCACGACCGACGCAGGCACGCGCCTATCGCGAGCTCATAGGGCAAAGGTTTGCCAGGGTCTGTTGATGTCTAGACTCAAAGCAATTGAGGCTATGAAAAACAGACTAGACAAGATCACCAAGTACTCGTTTAAGCTTTTGAACGAGCGCGTCGATCTGGCTACGATGCTCACGGACGAGAAGGAGGAAGCTGTCCGTCTGGCAACGGTGCTTTGGGTGTCTGGGCGCAAAACCGGCTACATGGTGTCGTACGGTGTAATGCTGCAACAGTGTTTGGAGGCTCTACTCGAGCAAGACTAGACCAATACTTCGCGCGTGTTGTGGACACGAAGAAAGCATCAAGCTGATAACAAATAAAACTGCGTTGTACAGTTGCCATCAACTCGAGGTCGTTTGCATCTACGACCTTGGCTACTTGGTTCGCTATTGTACTCACTTCAGGTTGCATAAGTATCATCCACATATTACGTAGTCGCATAACGGCAACGTCATCGGCTGAAACTGTGGCCTTGGTAAATCGGAAGTTATCCTTCAGCATGCAATACACCTGTGGTATCACCATAACGTCACACGACGTTCCATCGGGCTGTTTAGGCGCATCTAGCCATACTTCATTCTCCACAACAGGATATTCGACCCCAGCCATTGTCTTCTCATTGTCATTGCCAACCCAGCAGAAATTGCGCTACGGTCTGTTCATAGGTATCTTCGACTGTAGCGATAACTCGAATCGCACATCGGCTCGTAGAAGTAGGGTATGATCGACGATGGTTCAGTCTGGTACGTGATGCTAACAATGACGACGCCCCAGTGTATGTTGCTCAGATAAACTTTCGAATCAACATAATGGATGCTCGAAATGCGGATCTGGGGCGGATCAGGACAGCGAAACATTGATGCACACGAATCCAATGCGTAGTAAT